TCTTGCAACAGCCTGCACAGGAAGCAGCCCAGGCAGGCAGTGAAGGCTGATCCCATGTAAAGTGCTGTCGTGGAATTTTCCATTTACCTCACTCTTTCAAATCCATGGCCTCCTGTCCTCGACACCAATCCCCTCGGCTGGGAGTATTGTGCCCCCTTATTAGGTAAGGAATTGGCTCTTCAAAACACCAAGGTCGTAGAGTTCATAAAAGCAGAGGCAGGCTCTGAACCCAGGAGGTGGGCCACTGTGCTCCAAGCCTTCTGGGGTCCTCTGAGCTCCACCAGGAGGCTCTGAGGCTTCACAGGAATATGTTGGAGGTTTCCAATGGAGGAACATGGGGTGGAAAGAGCTGAGAGATTCTCTTAGGGTGCTAGGTGTGGGGATGGCAGCTCAGGGGCACCTGTCCATAAGGAGAGAAGGTGCTGTACCAGGAACTTCTTGTGACACTGGTACAGCCTGATCTACATGTTCAGGCTCTGGTGCTGGCTGGAGTCTGGAATACTGCCATTTGGGTTTCTTTGTGTTGTTGTTGTTGTCTTATGTTTTTGTTGTTTTGTTTTTTAAAACCAGTCCAGTCATTTCCTCCTCTGATCAATACCTTCCTATGGCTTCCTATTACTTTGGAGATGAAGTTCAAGTTCCTTACCCAGCTCACTAAGCCATCCATTATCTGGCTGTAACCTCTGACACCAGCAGTTCCCCATGCCTCCTGAGGACTTCCTGCCTGAGCAATGCTGTGCCGGATGGAATGGGCTTCCTGCTCCAGGCACCTCTGCTTGCCCTCTGCACAAGGCCCCTTCTGGACTGTGCACCTTCCTTAACAGCAGTGCATCCGTATGGACAGCCCGAGTTACCAGCTCCTCTCCAAGCAAAATTAAGAGCTTCCTTTTAGCTAAACCCAAATGTTCCTCTGAGAGAGCTCCACCCCTGACTTGTTCCAGGCTGAGTTTGCCTCTGGCTGGGACTAGAAGCCCCTCAAAGACAGAGGCCTCCCCATCACCTCTCTTCCTCTGCATCCAGGGCAAAGAGCACGTCTGGAGGGGTGTGTGGAGCTCCCTCCTCCAGGGCTGAGCAATAAGCCTCCCCTGGTTCTGCACCACCCAGGCTTCTGCCACCCCTGCCGCGTTCCCCACCAGACCCGCCACCCAGGACACTGAGCAGAGCCAACACTAGGCTTAGCAAAAGTCACCGAGTTAGCAAGTGCCAGATGCAGTTCTCTTGTCTCAAAATCTGCTTAATTTTAACCTGAGTACAACTCAGATCTGTCACAGAGACATAAACTTGCTAGTAAGTTTCTCATCTGCAAAATGGACCTTTTGCTGCCTGACTGAAAGGGCGTTTTGTGGATACAAGAAGCTGGCGGGGCCCAAACGCTCATCCTAAGAACAGCACCAGAGTCTCCCTATGGTTGTTTGAGAATGTAGATCCTGGGTCCCAACCTAGACTTCATGCAAAAAAAGGGGGATCCAGATAATGCGATGCAGAAATCGGTGGTTTTCAAATTAGTGCTTTAGTTCTCTGATATGTGGCCAAGAGTGAGAGACCCTGAGAAACCAAGGTAAAGCCCAGAACTCAGTAGGAACTCAATAAATGTTAACAGGACCCAGGGCAGGCAGACCAAATTGCAAGGATAAGAGCTGCTGGCATTCAGGGCTTGCAGACATATCTGGCTGTGTGTCCTTGGGTAAAGTCCTCAGCCTCTCTGAGCCTGCCGCCTCGAGAGTAAAAAGGGTCAAACAGAGGAGTGTCCACCTCACAGGGCTATGGCCAGGACTATCTGAAATAACACACTTAAGGCTGCTAGCCAAACTCGACCTGGGAATTCCATCAATCTGAATGAGTCCTGAGTGTTTCCTTTTTTGCCATTTCACCAAAGTCCCCTGACCCAGGTGACCATTTCTTCTGGCCTGGGAGGAAGCATCAGCCTCTTAAGAGTACCACTTTCCCCCCTTAAACCTGTTCTGCACCCAGAAGAGGGAGCCCCTAAAACATGGATGGGATTCCGCCATACTCTGCTCGACCAATCGGGGGTAAAAGCCAAACCCTTCCAGGCCCTGCCTGTTCTTCCCCCCCCCCCTCGCCGTGGGCTGACCCCACCCCCAGAGGTAAAGGAGACCCCCACCCTTCCCTACCCCAGGACCTTGAGCATTTCCTGTCTCACCCAGTAATGGTGCAGGATTGGCCCATGTATTCCCACCCGTGCTGGAGGGTCTGTGGGTCAGACGTCCATTCATGCAGCTGGACACCACGCCTGCCTCAGGACCCACCTGACCTGTACCCAGCTATCAGGTGACCCCCAGCGGGCGCCAGTCGACACCCCGTGGATGGATATGAGCATTTCTCGGCCCCGTCCCTTCCCCCATGCTCTGTGCTCCTGTCCTGGCCGGGCAGCCTCAGGCACAGGACAATCGCCGTCCGTCAGGGCAGAGAAGCAGCGACGCCCAATGTCATCGCCGCTCTATTTGATCAGCTCTGACTCCGGCCTCGGGGACACGTGTGCTGGGAGCCAAAGGGACTGCGGGCTGACCTCTGGTCCACGGGATCCCATCCTTCAGACGATCTCCATGACAACGGTGACGGCGAGCCAGAGCTGTGGGCTTCCTTTGATGGGAGCGGATGCGGGGGGACGGCGAGAAGAACTTTCAGAAGAATGAAGCCCTTTGATTGGGCTCCAGGCGCCTTCGTGACATCCACTATTTCCCAAGAACACACATTTCAGCCCCGCAGAGGGAGGGTCCTCATGAATACGTTTAAAAGGGGGGAAAAAAGGAAGAGAAACAGAACCGCCCTGTTCCCCTGAGAGAGTGGCCACCTGTGGGGGAGGGGAGGCTGGGTTGCCACGGCAACGGGAGCACTCTGAAGGCAGGTCCGCTGGGCACAGGGCCCTCTCCCCCGGGGGCTGCAGGGACCCCGCTCTGGCATCTCTGCCTCCCCGAGGGGCTCCCTTGGTTGGTCAAGTATGGAAGATGGCGAGAGGCAGGGCCACCCCAGGTCCTGCTCCTCATATCAGGGGCTGGGTCTGACCCCACCTCTGCCCCCTCCTGCCCCGTGACCCTTCCCACAGCAACTGCCACCTCGGGGCGAATGTTCCCGACTGTAAAATGGACACGATCCGAACTCCCCTTTCCCGGGGGTCTCATGACAGTTAACTGAGGGGCCACAGCTGGCCCAGGTGACAGAAATGGCCAGATGCCCCGTGTGCCAGGGTCTGGGGCTGGCTCAGGACACGGGACGTTCAGCTCTGAAGCCAGGAAAGCCCTGGACCAGCCAGGACAGTGGGTCACCAGGACAGAAGCACTGGAGGAGGGGGACAGCTAAGACACAGACTCTCGGGATGGAAGGACCCGGAATGTTCCAGAGCAGCTCGTTTCCCTGGGTCTTTCCCCAAACGCACACGCACCATCGCAGCCTGAGGAAGCAGAGCGCAAGGCCAGACCAGAGAACCCGGGCAGGGCTGCCCCACGCTGCCCAGGTCAGGAAGACGGAGGCAAGGCCGGGACGCGGTCCCAGAGCAGACCGGTCAGGGGTGACCACTAAATGCCGTGCCGCACTCTGGCCTGGGTCCCGGGACAGGAAAAGGGTGTTAATGGAGAAACTGGTGAGATCTGAGTGGAGCCTGAATAGGGATTTTTTAAAACTCAGTGACTAAGCTCTGCCCCAATGGTCCATTCTACAGAGAAACGGAGACACGAACAGAAGGAGCAGGAGAACCCTTGGGACCTCGGTTTCCACCACTGGTGCTCTACTCTGCTCCTCCTGATGCCGCCTGCTGCCATCAGGGGACCCGCTGACAGAAAGAGGAGAAGCGCATTAGGCCTGGAGTTAGGAGGTGTGGGTTCCAGCCATGCTCTGCCTCTGACTGGCTCTGTGACCCTGGGCCTCTCTGACCCTCAGTTTCCTCATCTACAAAACAAGGAGAACAGCCAACAGATCTCAAGAGAAGCCCATTTTTGATGTGCACAGGACTGGGCAGGTACCATCAGAGATGATGAACAAAGTTCCTGCCCCTCAGGAAGCTTACAGTTTTGTTGGGGAGTCGGTGCAGAGTTCTCAGGGATATTGTGTGACTATGAAGAAGGTCTTGGCCATGTGGCACAGATAAGGCCAGATGATAGAATCCAGAGGAGGAGGAGGAGAGGAAGGAGGTGAACCTACCGGGGCTCAACCAGATGGCTTAACCAAGGGAGACTTGTGGCTCCTGGGATGTCACCAAGGACAAACACATTTCCAGCAAGGCTCAGAGCCTTGCTGGTTTAAAGCTCCCCCTGGGGACCGGTGGCAAGCCCTGAGTCCCTGCTGGCCACACCATTAGGCTCTGAGACCCCCTCAAAGCTCACACCCCTTTGCAGGATCTGCTCACCTCTCGGCACCAGCCAACCACCTTGGGCCACACTCATCATGGCTGCCAAGGTCACCAACTCCTGACCTGGCCTCACCTCCCATCCACCCTCAGGTCTAATACAACAGCTCTGAGGCAGCCAGGAACAGAGGAGCCTGGAGATCTGGGTTCGAATCCTGGCCCTGCCACTCTCTAATGTAACTGTGGGCGAGTCGTCTCACCTCTTGGTCACCCAGTCACCTCACTTAAGATCCTCACTGCACTTAACTGTCCTGAGAACACCACTAGACAAGGAAAGAGGACCTAGTACCTGGGTGGCTCCAGGTGATGGCAGCCAGTGGTCCCACAGATAACGTGATCGACGTCACCGAGTTGGTTTTCATTCATGAACACACACACACACCCACACACACACACTCACACTCACACGCACTCAGCCATAATCTCAGTGCAGGCACAGAAGGGAACAGGACCCCTCAGTTCCTCATAAGCCACCCCCCACACACCGACCACTGCCACGTGACATCCCCAGCCCGTGACGTCCCCACATCCCTGCAGGTCTGTGGAGGCTGGAAATTGGTGCCCTGACCCTGCTCATGCCACCCTCCCCTGGCAGCAGCAGTGTCCCCTGCCTCACTCTGGAGGGGACCGTGACGCCCACCTGGCTGTGCACCTTCTCCAGCTCCTCCTTGCTGACAGAGGTCTTGCTGTCCTCCATGGTGGCCAGAAGAAGCTGGACGTCTGACAGAAGGGCGTGCGTCCTCTTCAGGTCCCTCCGAAGACGCTTCTCCACGTCGAAATCCCGGTGGCCAATCTGGAACCGAGGGAGAGGGCAGTGAGCGTGGCTGGAGACGTGGCCAGGGCGGAGCCGAGCGCCCGGCCCTCCCTCCCACCGTGGGTCCGGGGCGGTTCCCACTGCTCCTTCAGCCTCCGTTTCCTCATCTGCCAAACAGCCTGTGGGCTCCCAAGTCCTTGGGGCCATCGTTGTCACCAAGCCCTCCGTATGACCTCACCTTACCTCCTGAGAGACTCCCCTGCCTGCCGGGCGAGGCCCTCCGCTGCTGGCCAGGCTCTGCTGACCGCAGTCAGGACAGCCCTGAGCAGGGACAGAGGAGCAGGCCCGAGGGAGGACTAACGTCATGGCCCTGGGTGCCACCCGAGGAGTCACGGCCATTCGTGGGACTGCGCCCGTGGGGTGGCGTGCTCCTCTGTGTGCCTGTCACACTGCAGGCTGTGCCTGGGGGTACTTCGCTTCTCCCCATGGGTGTCACCCTCAGCAAAGAGCTGCGTTCTTTTTGAGGATCAAAGCGCAGCTTTTCTATGTCCCTTTGCCTGTCGAAGGACAGGCAGGGCCATCACCTCCTGCAGAAGGAACTGCACAAAGGGGAGCACATCCCTTCCCCCAGAATTCTAACATGCAGGGGACAGCGGCCACACCCTGGATGGAGCTCCAGGAGGTGACCTGACATGTCTGACATCTAACCCCGGGGGCAAGTGGCAGGGGAGGCACCGTGACATTCCACGCACTCGGTCTCCTCCGGAAGCAGAGCACCTCTGTCAGGGCCCTGAGAGAAGAACTGGCCCCTTACTGGGCTCCACAGGAGACTACAGCAAAGGACAGGAGACATCCCTCAGAGGGGAGGTTTAAAGAAAACGGGGTGCAGGTGCCTCCCTCTGGGAATGGGTGTCTACACACCAGGAATCTGTGCCTCTGTGCCAAATGCTGACCATCTGCCAGGACTCACAGAATGCCCCAGAATGTTCTAGAAAGAACGCGGGATTGAGAATAAGAAGGCCGGGGCTTTGAACCCCTGCTCTCTGTGTACTGACGGCAGGAACCTCGGCCGCGGAGTCACACAATCTCTCTGAATCTGAGCTTCCTTATCTATAAGGAGAGAGGTTAAAATACAAATCCCTGTCCTCCGTGTCCAGACAAGAGGAGGATCATGTGTGATAATGGATGGCAAAGCACTCTTCCCCGCCAGGCACCTTACAAACAGCGGATTAGGAGGCCCGCCCGGTGACCCAGCGAGTGCTCTTCTCCCGTGCTCTTGACATGGCTATTTCTCTACCACCTGTTTTGAATTCTTTGAAAAATGAGTTGGTTCTTAGAATATAAGCTCCTTTTCCTTGGATGCTTGCTCTGGTGAATTTAAAATGCTGGCCCAGGAGATCTATCCATCATCCATCTACCTCCCTCCCTCCCTCCCCCGTGAGCTGAGCTGAGGGCTGGGCATGCACCGGGCTCTCCGTCACACGGTGTTATCCTGTGACAACAGTCACTTAAAAATCAACACTATTATTATTATTGTCTTTATTAAAAGAGTGACAGCTTTCGTTCATGGAGAGCTTTCTACGTGTCAGGCCCTATTCAAAGCACTTGGTGAGTATTCAAACTTCAGCCATGACGAAGGACCTGGGGGCAGTGGTCTCGTGACTCCCACTGTACAGAGGGCGAAACTGAGGGTCACAGAAGTCACCTGCCCAAGATCACAGTTAGTACGGGGCAGTGTTGAGATACAAACCCAGTTTTTGCAAAGAGGTCATTTTAGCAAGAGGCACCAGGAGAGAGCCCTATTTTGCTCTTTGGTTGATATAACAAAGTGGCGTGGAGGCACGGAGGCCCCAAGCAGCAGAGGCTGCGATGGAGCCTGGAGGTGGGCACCGGCTCCTCCCAACCAGGGTGGGTGTGGCAAGGGGGCTGCAGGCAGAAGCCCCTGAATGAGCAAGATGGAGGTGAGACCCTATGTGGTACATGCATGTCTGAATGGGTGGCATGGCACCATGGGGGCAGGTCACAAAGCAGAAGGAATCACTCTTAAGCGTGCACCGTCATGGGGGACACAAGATAGAGCTGGTAAAGATGGGGTGAGTGAGCTGCCAAGGCCAAGCTGCTCCTAAGTGGCTGTGCAGGGATTCGAACCCAGGCCTCCCAGCATCAGTCTCTAACCACTGCACCACAGTGTCTGCCACGCTCCAAGCCTGGATTCACTCCCTCTAGAGTCCTGATTTTTACATGGGGCTGTGCCCGTGGGGTGGAGTGATTGCGTTCATGCAGGAGGCTCCGCACCCTCCCTGCTTCTGTGTCTGCTTTTACTCCAGGCACACCCTACGGTGCCTTTGGTTCTTCTGTGGAACGAGTTGCAATCAGTGATGGCCCTGAGGCTGGCACTGACCTGTGGTACGGACAGCTCAGATTCTACAGCCTTCACTGCCAGAAAGCCCTTGAAAATGCCGGCACTGTCTCCCACAGAGAGACGAAATTCACAACAAAACCTCAGAGCCAGCCACCCTCTCCTTCATAATGAGTCGCACTACAGGAGAGGAGGGGACAGCGGAAACCCATCAGGTTAATGGGAAATAAGTGCCACTCGGAGAGTTTCCATTCTGCAGCACACAGATTCAAATTTGGATAAAGATGTGAATAATTAACCAATAAATCTAAATGATGTTTAGTGTTGTTGTGGGAAGCTACAGGCAAACCTCAATCGTTACCCCATTTATCATAAAGGAAGATGTTCAGGGCGGTTGTTAAATGTCTGCTGTCAAAAGAACTCTCCAAGCACGGCTCAAACAGGATTTAGAAAGACTGTCAGGGATAATCCAGCCGCTTTGAGGATGGGGAAATGGGGGCTGGGAGAAAGGAATATGTGTGTTGCAGAAGGGTGCCCAGCAACTGAGCAACTGAGGGGTGCTGCCCATGAACTGTGGGAGAAAGTATTCCACAAAAGGTGGATCTAGTTAACTCAGCCCTATCAGCTTTGAGCACAGCATGGTGTTCAATTTTTACAATTATATACTGCCAAATAATACAGACCTCATTTCAAATCCACCTGGGGTATTGACGACCTGACAATCCTGGGCAAGTTGCTTTGTCTTTCTGAACCTCGTTTTCATTTATCTGAAGGAAATAATAATATCTATCCCATAGCATTGTTGTGAAAATGAATACTAGAAAGAATCAAGACTGAGTTCTTATGGGTAGCCACTAAAAGAACAGAAATGTAGTTCACAGCTTCTGAACCAGCAATAAAACAACAGGAAACAGAAAACATTATCAATCAATCTAAACGTGGGAAAGACACTGAGGAAGAGCAATGAATAGGAATGAAAAGCCAACAAGTACAAAAGAAAACAAACAAACAAAAAAAAAAACAAGAGAATACAAATAATTCCAAATAGATCAGTCATTACAACAAATGTAAATGAATTAAATTCTCCTATGAAAATTAGAGACTAAAATATAAATTAAAATTATCCAGCTGTTTAAAGGAAACACACACACACACACACTTGAAGACATTGAAAATAAAGAAACAAAAAATGATATTGCAACACACCAACTGAAAGAAATAAAGAAAAATTAAATAAAGCAAAATCATTCGTAGCAAAAAGTGAGCGACATTATATAATAATCAAAAAGTCACCATGGAAATAAAGCAATATGAAACTTGAATTACCTAAATATACAGCCACAAAATATATGAAGATAAATTATAATACAATTATTAGTAAAACTTAGAAAAGAAAATCATATAGCAATGCAACATGACTGTTTTACACAGAGATAAATCCCCACAAATACACTCATCAGATCTTTGACAAAGGTGCAAAAAATATGCATTGGAAAAAAGATAGCCCTTTTCACGAATGATCTGGGAAAACTGGTCATCCATATGCAGAATAATGAGACTAGAGTCTTATTTATCACTTTACACAAAAGTCAACTCAAAATTGATCAAAGACCTCAGAATTAGACCAGAAAATCTGCAACTCCTAGAAAAAAATGTAGGATCAACACTCGAGCAACAGACCAAAACTTCCTCATCGGGAGTTTAAAGCTCTGGGAATAATGCTAAAAGTTAATAAATGGGATGACATCAACTCAAAAAGCTTCTGCACAGCAAAAAAAAAAAAAAGAAAGAAAAAAGGAACGTAGAAAAAAATACAGAATGGGACAAAATCTTTTCTAGCTATTCTTCTGACAGAGGGTTAAAATCCAGAATATATAAATAACTCAAAAAACAACAAATAGCCCAGTTAATACACGGGCAAGTAAACTACACAGACATTTCCCCAAAGAAGAAATACAAAGGGGCAACAAATGCCCGGAGACATGTTCAACGTCATTACCTATTATGGGAATGCAAATCAAAACGACACTCATATTCGATCTCACCCCAGTTAGGATCCCAGCCATCAGGAAGATCAGCAATAAGAAACACGGGAGAAGATGTGTATATATACTGTATAATCCCACTCTCGGTGGGACTATATATTAATACAGTCACTATGGAAATCGGGACGGAGGCTCCTCACAATGGAGTTCTACTCAGCCGTGGAGAAGAATGACATTGTCATTGCCAGTAAAATGGATGGAACTTGAGAACATTATATTGCATGAAAACAGCCAAACTCAGAAAGTCAAGGGTCACGGGTCTCCTGTCATATGTGGGAGCTAACGAGGAAAAAGGAAGGAAAGGTGGGGGGAGTGTCATGAAAACCAAAGCAGATCAGTAGAGAAGAGGAAGAGGACCGGGGACGGGGGAAGAGGAGGGAAGGAGGAAACAGTGAAGGATGACAGTGGCCGTGTCACACTGTCACATCGTGTGCTTGTACAGATACGTGACAATGGATCTCACCATTAGGCATAACTGTAATGCACCAATAAAACTATGGAAAAAATAGAATTGTATTAGCAGACAATGAAAAATGTTTACAGGAGACATGTTTTAAAAAAAATATGGTCATATATTTTTAAACTTTTTATTTATGCTTTAATATTTGAAATTATACCAAAATTTCAAAATGAACCAGTCCATCTGCCAGGTGTGGAGCCCTTTGTCTCCTGAATACCTATAAATTCTCTTCCATTTGATAATATGTTATAGCCTTGAGCATGAACCAGGATAACTAGGAGGAATCATCAATTTCAAAGAAAAAACACTGGGTGTTGTACCATGTTATCTTCCCAAGTGGCACTGCATTAAAAATTAATAGTAAAAAGTTACTGCAAATAATCCTGAATGTTAATAAACTCGAAACTTAATTCATAAATAATTTGCAGGTTAAATGAGGAAAACACAAGAAACAGGAAAAAACCCTAAGGGTGGCAGTAACGCATCCTATCAAGGTAAACATCTTAAATAAACTAAACCATGTTTAAAAATTTAAAATCTGTGTGATTCTCAAAAAAAATTAATGGAATAAAATATTGAAATTGTTAAAATTTTCAACACTGAAGCTGAAAATAGAACAAAAGACTAAACTAAATGGTAAGAAGGCAAAGGAAAGATAAAGGCAGGAATTAATAAATATAAAATAAGGTAATGATAGAAAAGCTGGTCCTTTGACAAAACTAATAGACAAATATCTAGCAAGTGGGGTCAACACAACAAAACCTCACAAATTAATATTACTAAGATTTTAGATGGAAATTATATGATAATCTAATTTTCTTAAAATCATAAAAAAGTGCTATGAAAACAATCTTTATGTTGACCTATGTCAAAAGTCAGATGAAAGAATAAATGTCTAGAAAAAATTAGCTACCAAAATTCACTCACTAAGGGAGAAAAAACTCTGTATTTCTGTTCAGTTATGCTTAGAGAAATTTGAAGCAGTAATCATATTTATTCTGCTCCCTGAAAACAACCGGATCCAAGTGGGTTACAGGGAAATTACTTCAAATCGTCAAGAACTACATGTTAAAACTTTATAAAATTATTTTGAAAATAGTTATGAACTCATTTTATGAGGTTAGTTCAATGCTAGACAGAGACAGTCTAAGAAAAGAAAACTGCTAATTAATCTTATTTGCAATCCTGGAAAAAATTGTCAGCCATGCAATAGAGCACTGTATTGAAAAACCTATGAGTAAGTAAAATTTATCTGGAAAACACACCAGGTTACATTGTAATACCTAAAATATAATATGCTATGTTAGTAGATGAATGAAGCTGGCCATAGAATGAATCACAGGTGCATAAAAAGTATATGAGAATATTCAATAAACTTATTTTTAATTATTAGAAAACTAGAAATGCTGGACAAAGAAGACTGATTTAACCTGATTAAAGTAACCGATCAAAAACACACTGCAAACAGGTCCATCAGAACTTTGGAAGTATTCTGATTAAGGCCAGGAGTGAGGAAGTGATGCCAAGCACCTCCACCACGCAGTCTTACAATATCACAGGCACACGCCAATGCAATAAGACAAGAAAAGAGAAAAAATGCATAACATTTGTCTCTGAAAATGTTGAGATCTTTCTGTAGCCCCAATTTATGGTCAAGAGGCAAAATCATCATCATTTTCAAATGGTAAGATTGTTGTTGAAGAAAATCCTAAAGAATCTACTGATGAAATATGTGAAATGAGTTTAGCATGTTTGTTGGATTCCAGATCACTATGATCAACATAATTATTAGTTTTCCCATGTGTCACCAGCATTAAATCAAAATTAGAATACAGAAAAAAAAAATGCTGGTCACAGCAACTACGGAAACTACCATTTTCCTGGAAATAAATCTAACATGAAAGTTTAAGATGTGGAAGGAGAAAAATAACAAAATATTAATGATTGGCATCAGTAAATAGAGAAAGACAGCATGAGCATTAATATAATGGAGAATGGCTTAACAACAAAAATAACGTCCATGTTCCCAGCTAACATAAATCAATGAAAACTACAGTGGGTTTTGTTATGGAATGAAATTAAATTATTAAATTCTGTTCTTTTGGTTTTTTTTGCATAGCTGGGGAAGAAACCTAGGGCATGGCGTATACTAGTCGTGTATGTCATTATGAGCCACGTTGCCAGAACATAAACTCTTAAGAAGAGTAAAAGAGCAAGGACACAAGCAATTTAAAGGCAAGCAAGATAAGCTCTTCTAGAAGTTCTCCAAACCTAGCCACATGGTGCAGGCTGAGGGTGTCACTTAGTGGCAGACCAGTGGCTCAGCATGCACAAGGCCCAGGGCTGGGTCCCCAGCACAAAGACAAACCAGAAACAAAAATGCACCACGTGTTGCAGGAAAAGGTATAGACCAATGAGCCAGTGAACTTGAACAGGGAGCCCAAGAAACACCCACCCACACATGGAAAGTGTAAAACCAAAGACACCGGCCTCACCCTACACAATAAAGTCTAGACGGCTCAGAGACTGAATGATTTCAAGAACAAAATTTTAGATCGTGTAAAAAATATTTTTAAAAAATATGGATTCCCAATGCAAAAAATATTTTTTAAGAATATTAATTCATATATCTATATTAAAAACACTTTTTATTATATGAAGGATGTAACGGGGGAAATGATTCTCCACAGAACAGGAGATGTTCACCAAATATAATTCCAAAAGTGAATTAACACGTTGCATAAAGATCATGAATGAATAACAGGAAAAAAAAAATCAAAACAAGACAAAGCCCGTGGAGAGGCAATTCCTATAAGAGAAAGCCACAATAATTGTGTGCAGACCAGGTGACTCTAGGGGTGACAAGAGACACGCGGTACACTCGATACCCAACGCCTGGGGGAAATCTGGAAAGCGTGACTCGGCCACGTGTTGGGGGGTGTGGAGAAAGCAAAGCCTCAGACACTGCTGGTGACAGAGGAAACTGCCGCAGCCACCTGAGGGGACCATTTGGGTGACAGTTATGAATTCCAAAATTGTGCATTTCTAGCAGCCAGCGATTGCTCTCCTAGTCACACAGCCCGGACACACCTCCACCTAGGGGCGCAGGAAGACAGACACAAACGCGCACTGTGGCTGTAGGTCTCAAGGTGAAACCCAAACATCCGTCAGTATAACAACAGGATTTTTTTTTTAAAAGGAGGACTGTGTCACCGTTGAATGGATAAGAGCTACTTGCGCCACGCAGACTGATTTGGAAACCAGGATGGAGGGGGGGAAATGACAGTGTGGAACCATATCCCCATACAGGGTTAGAGCTCAGATATACAGACGCGAGAACTAGGGAGAGGGGATGGAATTAGAAAGGGACACCAAGAGAGTGTGTCTGCCTGTCTGTCTGTCTGTCTCTCTCTCTCTCTCTCTCTCTCTCTTGCAGTGCTCGGGTGGAACCCTGGGCCCCACACAAGCTATGCGAGCGCTCTACCCCCAGCAACACCCCCAGCCCCCAAACCTCTCTTTCTGGGCCAGCAAGATTGGCAACATTGTGTTTTCAAGTGGACAGAACTGAGTGTCCTTCTAGAATCAGGTCCTGGGCTGCCCCATGCCCTGCGACTCCAGGGGCTCTGTACTCAGTGATCCCAGCTGCCCTGCTGGACAACTGGACACCCTGAAGAAGGATGATCTACCACTGCCTGTCAATCCCCTTGGCCGGTCACCTGACTCCTGTCACCGTGGCGCCCAGTTCCAGAGTCCACTAATTGAATCGGTTTGGTTTTTGAAATGCAAAGTGAGCATTTATTTTGTTCAAGGCCTGGCTGCCCTGGGTGACCATCTGAGCGACACGTCAGGCCTTTGGTGAACACAGTCAGTGAGCCTGGGGAAGGAAGGGTGCTGAACGCTGCTTATGCACAGACAGCACGCACACGGAGCACACGTATTAAGATACACTCGTGGGATGCTTTAAAAGAAGTCACGGGAGCTCTGCGGTGCTGAGACTCCACCGGGCACAGTGAGCGGGGAAGGCGCGCTCTGGGGGCAGAGGAGTGAGCCCTCCCCGTCCTGAGGCCGGAAGCCCCCCCAGCGACGTTGGGTGCAGCAGCGGTTCCTTATGGTGGCAGAGGTAGATGCTCATTCTCAGGACACTCAGCACTGCTTGTGGACATTTCCAGTTGTCACAACTGAGGAGTGTGCTACTGGCATCTCCTGGGTAGAGGCCAGGGAGGCTGCTCGACTTCCTACAATGCACAGGTCACCCCACCGCAGAAAAGGAGCCCACTCCATCCGTCCACAGCATGCAGCTGAGCACCCTAGCGCACAGCGAAGGCAACAGCCCCACATGGTTTGCTTTCCCAGAAGCTCAGAGTGGGGAACTGGTTCACCCAAAGCCACGGAGACAGAAAGCCCTGCTGGGGCTTAAAGCGACATTGGCCTGACTCTGGGTCTGGCGGCTTCTAGCAAAAGTCTCAGCTTAGCCAGGCCTGGTGGTGCGCACCTGTGATCCCAGCTACTTGGGAGGCCGAGGCTGGAGGATCAAAAGTTCAAGGCCAGCCTCAGTAGCTTAGCAAGACCCTGTGTCTCAAAATAAAACAGCTGGGATGTGGCTCCATGGTGGAGCACTTGCCTAGCAAGTGCAAGGACTTGGGTTCAACCTCTAGTACCCCCTCCCCCCCACACACAGGACACACACACAGATCCTGTCCTCATGTGGCCAGCCATGAGCGCAGCGGCCACTCATATTCTCCCAGTTTCCACAGGAGCCCTCTACAGTCTTGCCCAACAGCTGCTGAAGGCAACACAACTTCCTGGTGGCTCCTGGTTGACCCACTCTGCGGATTCCCACGAGTTCTCCCGCGGAACCTGCTGTTGAGCCCTGCAGTCACCCCTGGAGACCGGCGGGGATGTGCAGGAGGGAATGGGTGGACAAGAGGCACGGGGAGGCCACCTGGAAGGCTGCCCCTGGCCCCTCCTGAAGCCCAGCAGCTGTTTGCCCTCCTCCTGCCCCCCCCACCCCCGCAGCCCTCCTGACAGAGCGCCTGCACCGCCGCCCTCACCTGGTCACACAGGGTCCCGATCAAGCCTTCCAGGTCCTGCTTCTCGTGGAGCACCATCTGCTTCTCCTCGTGCTCCTGCTCCAGCTGCATCTCCAGCTGGTGGAGCTGCGGGCACAAGGGCAGACCAGACAGAGGTGAGCGAGCCCCACGCGGACCATCCCCCAGCGCCAGGCCCCTCGGGGGGAGGGAGGGAGGACGAGGGGCCCCATCTGTCAGGGCTTGGGAGCCGGGTGACGATGGGGAGCCCCCTGCTACTGACTGTGAAGTTCCCCAACAGAACGCCTGTCTCCCTCCTGTGGCCTCGGCCCCTGCCTGGATATTCTCAGGTCTTGGCACTCTGATGCTGCAGCCTCCACATACAGGGAGAGCCAACATTTTTATTAAATATACCAGGGAGCAGCTTGCCACTGAAGCCTCCTGTCCACGGCGCTCTGCTCCAACGAGACATTCAACTAATAGCAACTCATTTAATTTATACTTGGCTCTGATTTCTCAGCTATTAGCAGCCCAACACAGGCACCGATCACAGAATGAATATCTCCCCGTAGCTGTACGCTGCAAAGCCCCCACTGGCCTCTCACGTGTATTATTTCATTCCTTCTCTGGCCCTATTTCACAGATGGGCGAACTAAGTCCCAGGGAGAAGCCAAAGCGCATATTCTGAAGTCAGAGTTAGCGTCCTGTCTCCCGGCCCCAGATCTTTCTGCCACCCCAGACAGCCACAGCACTGCCAGGGTTGATTGATTGATTTCCTGCCACAGTGAGGGATAGGCTGCACAGAGCCGCCAGGAGGCTGCGAAGCCAACGTCAGGGGCTGTCGTGAAGAGAAAATCCCCTTTCTCTGACCTCACGCTCTCCCTTCATGAAAGTGTCCACGGAAGAGCATCGGGAGGGTCCGGGTTGCATCCTAGCTCATCTGAGACCGGGTTCAGGGCACACAGCGTGCTCTGAGGCACTCTTGGAACAAACCAGAAATCTGCACATCCTCCACCTGACGTAACGTGAGCAAGACTAAGGGCATCTATCTCAGGAGGAAGGACAGGGCGGAGTGATGGCCATTTCTGCAGAGAGCAGGCTCATTCCAAAACTTCCTTTTAAGAGTAAGAAACAAAAGCAACTGCACTCCGATCAGAAGACTAGAAAAACTAAAGCTCATCTCGAAACAATATGTAAAATAATAAATCTATACAATACATTATTCTATAGAATAATAAAATCTGTGGAACATGTCCACGTGGTATTCACAGGTGTGATGGGGGATGGGGTAGGGGAGAGGGGGACTCTGGGAGCCACTTCAGGCCACCTCCCTTGAGGGATTTAGCTTCCATCTGCATCTCAATACACCCTTAAGGATGCTTGTCCCAGCGTTAGTTCTAATAGCAGAAAACCAGGAACAACCAAAGTGTCCAATGATAGGGGATTCGTTAAATAAAATAGAGCACATGGTTTAAGAGGCAGCATCCACTACTGAGTGAAGATAGTGGACTCCAAAAGACCTTGACCCCATGTAGTAAAGATAATATCTGTGCAAATCCGTACGTGCACATGCAGTGTGAGGGGAGAGATGAAAAGGTGTTTACAATAGCCATCCTGGTGGTTTCTAGGGGACAACATGTCAAGGGCTTGTGCTTTCTTATGCACTGACTGCCATGTCTACCGAGAGTGGATAAAATGTAAGAAATGATCTGAGGGCTGGGGGTACAGCTCAGTGGGAGGAGTGCTGTCACCACAGGCACAAGGCCCTGGGTTGTCCCAGCATCAGAGGGGGAGAAATCAAGAAAGGATTTGAGCAGCAAGGGAACAGTCGGAGGGAGCATCTGAGAGATTCAGAAGTCCTTCCCCAAGAGTCTCGAGGCCTGATGGGCTCCTGACAGAGACCTTGGGCTGATGCTGCTGGAAGTTCCAGCTCATACTGAAGGTAGGTGCTCCGGCCCTGTTCTCTTGAAAGCACTTAGGGATCCCAGGTCTAGGTGGCTGCAGGAAGGGCCTGTCCCCGGCCCCAGGCCCGGCCTCCTCCTTGACTGCAGGGGTGAGGCAGCCTGCAGGGACCGGCCAGGACCTGGGCACAGCTGAGGGGCGGTCACATACCCGCTTCTGGCAGGACTGACGGATGTCCTCCAGCTCCTCCTCTTGGTCCTCCCGGTCCTTCTGATGCATCTGCTTCATCCTCTCTATTTCCAGTTCAAACCGCTGGCGGAGCTGGGGACAGCAAGCAAGGATGGGCATGAGGGTGGCCCAGGGCCACTCCCTCAGCATCCCCTATTTTATTTGAGGGTGGGGGGGGGGTACTGGAGATTGAACTAGGGGGCCCTCGACCACTGAGCCCCATCCCCAGCCCTATTCTGCATTTTGTTTAGAGACAGGGTCTCACTGAGCTGCTTAGGACCTCGTTGATGCTGAGGCTGGCTTTGAACTCGAGATCCTCCTGCCTCAGCCTCCTGAGCTGCTGGGATGACAGACCTGCACCACCGCACCCAGCCACATTTTTTCATTTCTGCACAGAGGAGAATCAGGTTCTCTCCCTCAGCACCCTGGAAATGGTAGATAAACAGCCCAAAGGCTTCCTCCCTTTCTATGGTTACAACAGACACCCGGAACCCATCACATTCTCCACCGAGGTCAGATGCAGCCTCAGAATCCTTCTTAACACTCTTGAGATGAACCCAAGCTCTGGCCTGCTCCAGAAGTTCACAACTGCTGCCCTTAGCATGGAAATTAGGTTGAGAAAATACAATCTCAGCCTCTCAACATGTTGAGCGTGTTCCTCGCTACGTAGACTGTGGCGAAGAGTAAAAAGGACCAGAGCCCCACCATCGTCCCCGGCATAAAGCAGGCTCACGATAACTGTCGAGCTCCTTCCTTCCCGCCTTTAAAATGACAGAGGTTATGGGAAGATAATCCAAAACGAGGAGCCTAAGCAAGTTAATAGAATATTTCCCTTTCATTTTTCCTCGCCCCTTGGACACTTCTGACATCTGCAATACCATTTATGTCAGGCTTATATGAGTTAACATAAAATTCCCTGGAAAAAAGTGCTGTCTGGTAATCAATCAATATCTACAAGAGGTCTCCAAGGACAGGGGCCGTGAGAAGCTGGAGACGGATGAGGGCATGAGTCAGCCTCCCCCCTGGTGGCCCAGGGCGGGAAGCTAAGGGGCTTTAACTTCCGCTCTCCTGAGGCCTGGTGGGGCTTTCCTGCTCCCAGAGCTGAAGGGAGACCTGCTGGTGTCACCAAGAGCCAATGCAATTTCCAGAAGTTCTTGTCTTCTTACTGCTTCTGCAAGGATCCTGCTCATTTAGAGAACACCTGGTTGCTACAGGATGCTGCATTTAAGGGACATCCTTCATGTCCTTTAAATACCTCCCCAGACGTTCCACATTCTGCAGGGATGGTCACAGGTTCAGAGCTGGGTTGGAGGCAGCTAAGGGGTTGTTCCATATTTCACTGCACATGGGAGGGGACTCGGGCCTTGGGATTACAGCACCTTCTTCTGTAAGGGCATAAAGACACTGAGCTGCCTCAAAGTCTCCATCTGGATGTGGCATCATTAGGACATGTTAAATGTCACATGATTTTCTGGCCACCGGGCCTTTGCACAGGCTCTGCCCTGCACAGAACTCTCATATTCAACCAATTCTGACTCATCCCTCAGCTTTTGGCTTCAAGAAATGTCACTTCCTCCAGGGTGTCTTCTTGACCCTCTCCCCCAACCCTTTTGCCAAGACTAGATCTGCAAGTTCCACGTTCCTGTGACACCCAGCAGGACTGTAAAGTTTGGGAAAGCAGAGACCCTTTCTGTCTCTGCATCCTCAGATCTACCCGGTGCCTGACAAAGAAGAACAACTCCCTGCATCTGGCTGACTGAACATGAGCTCTGCTTTCTTCACTCTCCTTAACGAGCGTCCAAGACTCTCCAGACCCCAAATGCCTACTCAGGAGGCTCCACCCAGCGGGATGCAAGGAGAGTAGGCGAGAAGCAAGGGCTGGCACCACGGCTTCCACTGAGGCGCTTAGAGTTCAACTGCTTTACACGTTTATGTCACTCAGTCCCATTTTCTTGCATAAGAGGCTCTCAGCCTTTTAAAACACAGTCACCTTTTGCAAAATCCTACATAACAAATTCCTTTAGCGCTGAGCCTCAGAAGCCACTTCTTGAAAATCTGACTTTTTGGTTTTGTTTTGTTTCTGGTTTTTATCTTGGGCATAAGAAAAAAAGGCATAGACCTCACATTTCCTTTTTCCCTCTGGCCACGAGGAATTTTAGAGCAGAAACTGTGACGTGTGTAAGAACATATGTTCCGCCTATCACATATCGGCTCGCTGTCCCCACCCTCTCTTTAGTGTCTATTTTAGTCAGTACTTTTCTGGCCCAGACTGTTTTACTTAGAACCTCATTGTTGTTTTGCATCTGTCTTAGAAGCTGCCTCCTATGCTCCTTGGAATGAGGTAGACGTTCACACAAGCAAGCAGACAAATAAAACATATCCATCGGCTTCGTTGAGATTCTGCTGCTACAGTATCGGATATATCCTGACTGGTTCCTTATTCTCTTGGTGAGTTTCTATTTTTCCAAGATGGGCATGCCAATCTCCCTGGAGGCTGTGCCCACAGTCAGTAGCCAAGGCTCTCTGGGGTCAGAAGACGCCACTTCCGAATCCCACCCTGCCACATTCTCTGTATCTCTGGATCTCAAGTCCCACCTCTGTAGAATGGGGACAGAACTCACATCCCCACACAGAGGTCCTAGATGACCTTGACCTAGCAGGATGGCAGAGGAGCTCTAGACCATGAAAGCTCTGACCTTCAGGCTTATGAGTTAAGATGTTTTCTGGGGTAATAGGGAGCCATGGAAGAATGAGGAGCAGCAGAGGAGATGCCCTCTGAGAGCACTGCACATTTCAGCCAGCAAGGGACTGGGATGTTGCCCCCACAGGGCTCTCCCACCTGCTCCAGCTGCTTGATGGTATTTTCCTGCTGGTTCTGGATCTTCTCTTGCTCCAGCTTGCTGGATTCCAGCTTCCAGAGCCGCTCCTTCAAGCCGGCGACGCCATCTTTCCCCACAGAGGATGACTCCAGCAGCTCCTGTTTCTGAGTCTGCAGCGTCTCCACCTCCTGCCTCAGCTTCATGGTTTCCTGCTCCTTTTGCTGGGAGACAAAGGGGACAGCGTCCTGAGTCACCCAGTTGGGCCCTCCTCCCCTGGGGAGGCCTCTGTGACCTGCTGGCTGGGGGTTCCACTGGCCCTCCCTGGAGGCCCAGGCCCCTCACTGAGCCCCTGTGGGACACCAGCAAGGGCTGCTCTTTGGGACAGCTCAGGTGGCATTGAGGGAGGGAGGGACATTTGGCTAGGCCACCAGGGAGCTGAACTCCAGACTCAAGGGCATGAGGTCCTGGGGGCAACAGGGAGCCACAGAAGGACACAGCAGCGCCTGGAGAGGCACCCAAGTCGTATTTTACTAAAATCCCTCTGCATGAGCGTCTGCACGGGACAGGCCTTGCTCCTGGACAAGGTGATAGCTAATTTTCTGCTGGGCCCGCTGTCCCTCCCAGGCAGACCCCTGGACTCTGTGCAGGTAACTGGAGCAAGACCATGACCTCACACTCTGGAGTCTGACTGTCAATGGGCCAACCACAGGTTGTTTTAGGAGACACGCTGGGAACCTGACTCCTGCGATGGGCAGACCCAGGCACCTGCACGGGCTCCCTTCCCTCGGCAGCAGGTGTGTGGTGGGGTTTCAGGAGACCCAGCCACCAGGAGCCCGTCCAGCTCCATGTCCCCCGTGCCTACCTTGACTTGCTGCTGGAGCTGCCCCAGCTCCCACCGCACGCTGCTGTTCTCCTGCGACACTTTCTCACGCATACTCTTTTCAAACACCGACTCCCCCAGGGCCTGAGCCAGCTGCATGTCAAACCTGCCCAGGGCAGAACACGTGTCACCGCATGGGGTGGGGAAACTAAAGTAGAGTTAAGTGGGGCTGGAGAGGAGGAGGCGGAGCCGGGGTTGGGCGGGGCCTGAAGGGAGGAGGTGGAGCCAGGGAGGGTTGGGCAGGGCTGGGGAAAGAGGAGGAGGAGCCGGAAAGGGTTGGGCGTGGCCTGAGGGAAGGAGGTGGAGTCGGGGAGGGTTAGGCGTGGCCTAAGGGGAGGTGGTGGAGCAGGGAAGTTGGGAGGGGCCTGAGGGGAGGAGGAGGAGCCAGGGAAGGCTGGGCGGGGCTGGAGGGGAGAGGGCGGAGCCGAGGAGGGTTGGGCGTGGCCTGAGGGGAGGAGGTGGAGTCAGGGAGGGTTGGGCGGGGCTGGAGAGGAGGAGGCCTAGAAGGGGAGGGTTGGCTCAGGGCTCCAGGGGATGGTTGTGAGTGTGGCCGGAAGCTGAGACGCTACAGAGGAATTTCTTAGCACCTACACAGTGTTTGTGAAAAACACCGAATACTTATTAAAAACCTGATAAAAGTACATAGACAAAATAAAATTAGAGTAGACACTGATGTAGAATAGAAATTAATATGCATAGTAAATGATGATGTATAAAATATGTAGGTATACATGGAGAGAGAGAGCACACATCGGATCTGCCAAAGCACATCAAGAAAAAAGACCCATTAATTCTACCGGGTTTGGCATCTAAGATCCACTGACCCAGGAACAAATATTATGTACACACACTCATACACAATGTCCTGTCTCCATGCCAACAGGGAGAGCCTCACTCATGCCATGTGGCTGATGCACTTGTTAGCCAAATTAAAGTCTGCTAATTTTTGACGAGATGCTGGTCATCTTGTCCTCATTCCTCCAGCAAAAGACACAAAGATGAGACAGTGCTCCCGAGAGCCACTGGGGCTCTCCCGAGGCACATCTGCCCCTCTAGGAGGGGGGACCACTGGATAAGAAGAACTTCCTGGACTTTCCATCATCCCCTCATGGTCTCAGCCCGTCCCCTGTCACAGATGAGGACACCAGCAGAAGACCCTTTGCCAGGCCTCAGTGAATCACAAATAGAAAGTCCCAATGCTCCAGAGAACTTGATGTGGCTCCTGGGATTTGGGCCTTGGTGACAAGATGGTGCCCGATATACGACGATCCCATGTCCCAGGACACCAGCTGTCCTTCAAAGTCTGAGACTCCTGAGAAAGCCAATCACATCACATAAGGGAGCCCTCCTGTTGGACCAACCCAGGAACTTTCTGATGGGCTATTGGTGACATCATTCCAGAAGTGCTATTTGCTGCCCCTGAATGGAAACAGGGTGACAACAGGATAGTAAGGCTCCATGAATGCCATTCGCCAGGCTCTGCATTGGGGCCCCCAGAGTCCTGGGGGAAGATGTATGTTGGATACCCATTCACAGAGGAGGAGTCTGAGGTTCAGAGAGTGATTTGGTCTTGAATCCCCAAGTAATGGAAGTGAGCTGAAGGCCGCTCCCCAGTGTCTTACTACCCCTCCCATCTACCTGTCCATGCCCTTGGACAGGTGAAGGAAGCCAGAGGGAGCCAGTGACTGATGTTCCAGAGGAGTCCATGAGCGAACAGGCCACTTGATGCCAACAAAAGGCTCCTCTAGACCTCAGCTTCTAGAACACACTGAGAACCCCCACCCTGAGGCCAGACAGACTTGCACACCCCCTTCACCCCACCAGGGGCAGGCCTGAGGTCCAGGCTGGGGCAGTCAGCAAGCCTAGCAACAGGCTTCTCTAAGAGTCCCATCAGCCTTGGCCGAGCTTTGTGATCCTAAGTAACCATGGCAACCGGAACCCAACTCTCCTGTGGGACCATTCCAGGGCCCTCTGAACTTAGAAGGCAGAGTGGGGATGCGGCTCCACGAGCCTGTCTCACCACAGCATCCCGGGCCAGCAAGCTGGGCAGGCAGCTGCGTCGACACTGTGCTGGTGCCTGACATCTGGGCCCCCCTCCCAACCGTCATTCTGCCTGGATTTCCACCCTCAGCCCCAGACTTCTGCTGCCCCCACTGGCTCCCACTGAAATGCCACTCCACCTGGAAATGCAAGGCCTGCTGAGGATGTGGGCATCCGAAGACGCTCCTGCCCAACAGTGGGAGCAGAGCTGGGGACGCCTTTGGGCTGCTGGTGGGTGCCTCAGGGGAGGTTTGGAAGTCCCTGGAATGAGGACTTCTGCCACGGGGTGAAGGAAAGTCCCATAGGGATGGAGTTTTTCGGGCTGTACCAATCCAAAGCCCAGGCCCCTCCCTGTCAGAAAGCTGAGACCCTCAGAACAGGATCAAGGCCAGAGTGGAGAGTCCCGGCTGGGAGGACCCTGGGGACGGTGGAGGCGCACCTCTCACTTTAGGGCTGGGGTCTCTCAGGACGTTCTTCAGTGGCCTGTTACGTCCAAGGATTCCTCTGAAATGTGGTTAGTCCTTCACTGGCCCCAAGACCTGTCACTTGGCAAGGCCACTCAGCAAGTGGCCAAGGGGGACTTGAGCCATTTTCTCCAGTGCAAGGGAGACTTAGCCAGAGTACCGAGAGGGAGTTGGGAGAGGGCGCAGAGAGAGATGAGATTAAACCTCTCTTATTTGGGGGAGCATGCTAACCGTATTCAAGGGTCGTTATTTTTTCCAGATGCAGAAGCCAGCTCTGGAAGGTTCAAGGATGAATGAAAAAAAATTATTTAATGCAAATGGATTTTGAAATCTATAACACTCTCGTGGAAATAGAATTCTGCCTGCTATGTCTTGGAAAAGACGCACCCCCGGCAAAACCGCTCTTGGTCCACATAGGAACGTTTTTCTGTTTTATCCTGAGTATCCTAAAAGAGAGGCTGCATTATACCGATTTGCCGTCTATGAAGTGTCTACTAGAGATTCCCAGGCTCTAAAGCCCCTTGAACCTCACCAGAGAGCTGAGGACTTGGACGGAGCCAGCTGTGCAGGGGGGGGAACCTCCAGATGGGGAGGATTTGCGTGAGGAAGCTCAGGCCACCAACCCCTCCTCTCCAGGCCTGGAGGGGACTGCATCCAGGCACCCCAGGAGCCTGGCCTGTCTGCAAAACCTTGTGCACTTGGTTCACACGAAAGCCGACATGGGAACCGGTGTGCACACATTAAGAACTTGACATTTTGTTGATGTTCAAGTTCCAGTCCCTGCCAGATTGCTCCCAGGATCTGAGCCTCTAAGCCCTAAATGAGAAGGGCAGGAACTCTTTTTTTTTTCTTTTCTTTTCTTTATCGTTTTGTCAACACTGAGGATAGAGACCCAAATTCAGTCCGTTTGGAGGTACCAATCACATCATGGAGTTCTCACCACAAGGGGGCGCCTCATCCCCAACCTACAAGTATGGAGTCAGAGGTGGGGAAGGGTTGAAGGACCAGGTCAGGGTCACAGGGCTAGCCAGGGGAACCGCTGGGGCTTGAACCTGATGGTTTTAGGCAGCACCTGGGCTCCTGACCATCTTCCTAAACTGACTCAATCTCCTCCCACAGACCTTTCGTTTGACAAATGAAGAGATTGAGGCTCAGAGCAGCCAAGAAAATTCCCCAAGGTCATATGGCCATAGGGTCACCAGGCTTGGTAAGAGAAGAGAATCTTTTTGTTTGTTTGTTTGCTGGATTTTTTGGGTCGTACCTACAGGAATAACGGGTGAGGAGGAGGGGAAGGAAAATTGGGGCCAAACCAGGGCCTTAACCTGTCCTTCAGAAGAGAACCCAGAGATCCCAGAGGACCCCAGCAGCCATGCAGCCCACCCCATGGTCCAGGTGACAGTGTGGGACACAACTCACTTCTTCTGCTTCTTCTGCAGCTCGTGGTTTCGGCTTTGCTGGTTCTCCAGCAGGACGCGGGTGTCCTCCAGGTCCCAGGTCAGGCAGTGGCACTTCCTCTTCAGTTGGTGGGCTGCCTTCCTGGCCTCCTCGTAAGCACTCTGCAGCTCGGCGAGCTGTGGGGGGACAGAGGAAGCACGTGCCCTCTGGGCGCTGAACATTCCCGGGAAACACGGCTTCCGAGTGAGCATGACACTGGGGACACTTCTGTCTGTGTCCACTAGTCTGTCTTGTCTACTTCCTGGGTCACCTTCCGGAAGCTTCTCCTCTGGATCTCAGGGGAAAATGGGAATAATCCCATCAGTCTCTCAGGGTGGTTTTCATTTCTCCTCAATAAACCTCCTGCCAAAACACCCCCAGAATTTCTACCCTGCCTCCACCTGATGTCCCCTGAGCACCAGGGAGTCCCTGTCCCCGTCACCTGGCATCATCGGGAGACATTTGTCAGGATCAGCCATGACGCTGCCAAAACTTGCCCGGGAAGCCCGGGAGGGAGGTCAGAGGGTGGAACAGTGGACGGCACTGCGGACGGGCCGCGCCACACAGTGTGCCTGGCTCTTGACAAACAGGAGCCCAGCCACACGCCTTCCTCCGGGACACACCGCCGACTGTCCTAGTTGGGGCTGGGGGAGGCTGCAGCCCAGCACACACGCTTTGAAGAAATGGCCTCATTAAAGAATCGCTTTAAATAAGCAAAACTCTGAGTTAATGAAGCCTGTAATTCCAAGTTCAGTATGCGGAGGCAAATGGGATGTTTTCTTAGATTCTGCGGCTCAGAAAAGGTTGCGGCTTTATTACTTTTTAATGTAGCATGAATATTGCCCCTTTCCTTAGGGAAACTGACCGGCTTCATAATTTGTTATTAAAGAGCCGGACTGCTTCCCCGCGCTGGTCCCCAGTATGTCTCTCTTGAGGACACAGTGGTGGGTCCATTTTGGAAATGACCGTAACCATCACCACTGCCAGGGACGACACTGAGCCTCACTTCTATGGTTGGTGGGATCCTGTGACCTCACCCACCCACCTCTGCCGGGTGATGGGTGGTACCTTTCTCTCACATTGGGGACAGAACAGTAAGACAGGCCCCTAATTTAATCTCCACCCCCCTGGCCCATCCATCCAGCAGTGGAGACTGGGAAATGAATGGACACTGCCAGTGCAGATTTAGGGAAATAATGGAGGGACTCCCGTCTCCATCAGGGAAGACTTTCAAGGAGAGGCATTTACGTTGAGATCTGTAAGAACAGGTGGCGGGCAAGAGGCGTGGCGGGGTCTGCTGGTGTGGACGAGAGCCAGCTCTGCAGTGTCTTCCAGATTCCCGCCCAGTGCGTCACAACAGCCATTTGAAAATGGCGATGGTGGAAGGGACACAAGATGGGAGACAGGCACAGGCGTCCAGCTGTCCCTGTGCACACCCCGAAAGGCTAGAGAGCACCATGTCGTAGAGGAGCGAGACTCCATGACATCTGTGGTATCTATTTGGTGTTCAAGATGGAAATTTCCAGATATCGGAAATACAGAAGGCACAAAGTCAGAATGACAATGGGAGATAATGATATTATGGCAGCGGGAATGTTCTCCAAGGACAGGGAGTTCTGCTTGTCCAGAAATAGAGGGAAGGCCGTGGACCATGGGGAGGGAGGGAGCCAACATGGAGGCCCTGGCACAGTAGGACCTGCAAAGAGCTGTGCCTCACGGGGAAGGCACAAGACAAGTTCTACAGAACCACTGGCCTGGCAGGTGGTACCAAGGCTCGCTTCTGCTCTGGCTTTGGGTGGGGAAGAAAGGAGTCCCATCAGAAATCAAGACTGTAGGCGCAGTGACACACACCTGTCATCCCAGCGGCTCAGGAGGCTGAGGCAGGAGGATCTCGAGTTCAAAGCCAGCCTCAGCCACAGCGAGGCCCTAAGCAGCTCAGTGAGACCCTGTCTCTAAATAAAATGCAAAATAGGGCTGGGGACGGGGCTCAGTGGTCGAGGGCCCTGAGTTCAATCCCTGGTACCCCCCAAAAACCAAAACCAAAACAAAACAAAATACTGTCCGTGTAGGCCTCACGTGGGTTTAGAGATGGACACTTTTTCATATCACACAAAAATCTGAGACCGACAACACAGTGTCACCTCAGGGGTCACTGTAGAAGAACACACAATAGTGTTTCTTGCAGTGGGACACTCCCACCCCCGCTACCAAAAGACTCCAGTAAAATCGATAAAAAGTTTAAGAAAAAAATCTGCTGAAGATCGACTCACAATAAAAACAGCTAAATACACACAGACATCACATGAGAGAGGATTTAAAAAATCCACAGAACAGAGCACCTGGGACTGTTGGGGGCAGCAGAGGGAGGCGCTGGAGATGAGCTCCAGATCAAAATTCATTCACGAAACAAGGGGAAAGAAAACCCGCCCAGAGAGTCGCACAGCATGGCGCTCCTGAAGGCCTCGGGCTGGAGGAAGGGAACTGGTTAGCAGGGGTTGCTCTAGTCTAGATGGGACACGGGGGTGACATCAGCACGGGGGCAACGGGAGCGGTCAATGTGACTGCTTTAGAAGTATACTGCGAGGATCTCAGAAGGAAACCTCGGGCCCAGAAGGTAAGGTGGCTTTCACGAGGACCAGGCAGAGGCGGAAACAGGACCTGGATAACCCTGAGTTGGTGTGTGCTCTGTGCTCAGACCGGGGACCCACGGGAGAGAAAAGGGTTTCCAAGTCCCACAGTGACCAGAACTTGTAACAGCGGCCCAGGTGGAAAACCATGAAACGGCTGGTGGTTTCCCTCCTCTCCTCCTCCGTCCCCAACCATGGGTCACTCACCGGCCCACTCCCTGACACCTGTGGCCCAGACGATCCGCTCCCCTCTTACCTTCTGTTCCAGCTCTTTCCTGGATGTCAGCTCTGAGTCCAGCCTCTCCTCACACTGCTGGAGACGCTTTCTGAGAAACTCATTCTCCATCTGAGCACAGTCGAAGCGCATCTGCCACTCATCTGCTGTTTAACAGAGTCAGGGAGGCCGGGATAGGAGGCCAGGTGAGGATGAGGCCAGGGTGGCCTCTCTTCCACTTTCTTGGCTCTTTGGATGTGATTTCACAGTATCCATGGAGCCCCAGGACCTCAATCTTGGGCTTCAGGTTAGGAAGCTATGCTGTAGTCAAGTTTATGAACTACTTCCTCTAGACAGCCTGCTCTGACCGCCTCCAGCTGTCTAAAGTACTTAAAGACCCGTTGTTCTAAGATCCACTGCCTTATACTGTTCAGTTACCTTTGTAAGGTGGACTCATATTTTCTTTTTCCAAAGAAATTCCATAATCCTTTAGGTTGCAGAAGCTGTGAGTCTTTAGCATACATGATGGATGGATGGATGGGTGGATACGTGAATAGATAGATTGATAAATGGATGGACAAGTAGATAGATAAATAGATACATAAGTGTGTAATAATGGAAAGATAAATTAATAACAGGACAGGTGAGTATGTGGATGGATGAATGGATGGTGGGATCTCGGTCTTTGAAGAGGTCACCGCACTACAGATTTCTACGTCACTAAGTTAAAGGAGGAGGATGTGATATTAAGGAATTAAAATTTATTCAGTTTTCCATCAAGATACATAATATCATGGTGAGAAAGGAATCCTGTCACCTACCAGGACAAATTCTGAGGATAACAAGCAGCATGACATTTCTGCAGCGCCCCTGCCCCGGGACTCCCTCTACAGGGTGCTCAGGGGACGGGGACTGGAGGCAACGCGGGTGGGTGAGGAGACTGTGCTCCATCCTTCAAGAATCACCCCCTCCTGTGACTCCCCTGCCCAGGGTGTCCCTGTCAGCCAGGGTGTCTAGTTCAGTCCCTCATTATCAAGTCACTCTTTCCCTGGATTTATCTGATCTCCACACTTAGATTCCAATTTCTCGAAAGTAAGTCCCAACCCAAATCCTCCTGCAGCCCCCGCAGTGTCCAGCTCAGTTCTGGGTGCACAGCATCAAAGATTCTCTTTCACTATGCAGCAGAAAGAAGGAGTCTGTTTTTGATAATTAATACCCCAGCTGGATCCGCAGAGGCGGGTGAGGGGCTGCGGCGGTGGCATGATTAAAGTGTTTGATGATTGCTTCTTTCAACTTTCCTCTCTCTTAGAAATGTTCTCTAATGAGTATGTATCACTTTCATAATGAAAAACAAAATATTTGTGGGTTGATTTCCGGGAATGGGCATCCAGGGCTGAGAACCTATTTAGTGGGGGACTGCTGTGCCCCGGAGCTCAGCGCGTCTCCCCGTCGCGGGACTCCCTGGTCTTTCCACAGGAAACCAACCGGGAACCTCACTGAGACCCGCGTCTCGGTCAGATGCAGCTGGTGCCCAGAGTCCCCAGGAACCCTGCCTTGCGGGGCCTCCCACACCACAGACTCCTCTGTGCTGACCTCCCTGGGACGTGCCGGCCCAGGCGGGTCCGGGAGGCGTGCGGGGCAGGAGCACAGGAGAAACCCAGCCCCGTCTCCCTCGGTGGACTCCCGACTTCTCTTCTTTGGAGTGTCCCTGACATTTCAAGGGCATAAACTCTCTGGGGACACGGAAGGCAGGATGCTGGCATTTTAGAGATGCTGACACCGTGGCTCTCCTCGTCACCTGACTCCATTAGGCTGGGGAGAACTAGGAGGCAGGGAGCAAGCCGACAGCCATGTCACCATGCCACCAACCATGAGATGTCCCCAGGTGCCTGGGTCAAAAGGGCATGCCCAGGAAATCCTGGCACTACTGAACACATCTATCACTGGAGAAGGGAGAGTCCCCTCACCTCGTGGCAGGCAGCTTTGTCATCTCTAATAGGGGACGGGGTGCTTCTGTGGAATTGGTTGGTATGAAGAAAGGCAGTGACCCCACGATTTCTCCTAACAAGGTCGATAAAGCAGCAAACACCCCTTCAGCGTCCGCACCTCACGGGGGGCGGGGGCCACAATTGGTACTGATCATAACTCTCGCCATTTGAAGATGGGGAAACTGAGGCACAGCAATTTTATTTTAAACTGAAAGCCACACACCCGCTAAGATGGAACCCAGATCAAAATCCAGGAATCCAATTGCAGAGGTTTCACCTTTTTCAAAATCCATACTTCATATATCCCTGGGAATATAAGAGGGTCTTGTTCATCAGCCCACCATCTTTTATTCTTTGCATCATCCAGCACCTGTCACATAGATATTTATTATTTTGATTGAGCACATAATAAATGCTCAATAAAAACAGTATTTTAATGGAAGCTCCTCTTAACCAGCCTCCTTGAAGGATGGACCAACATTCTCCTCCAGGATGATGGGGAGAATCTGTTAAACAAACCTGTTTTCCTTGTAAAGAATCCTGCCTCAGATTTCACTATAGTAACAGAAAAGGACTAAAACATGGTCCCAACCCAAAGTGGGAAATATAATTTTGCATTACACGGTGCCTGTCACTGTTGTGTGGGACTCTGAGGGGCTGTGCCTGCCTAAGTCCCAGCCCCTGATGAAGTGTGCGGTACATGGCCGGTGCTTAGCATGCACCAATGAACCAGTTAAGTCAGAAGGCAGCCATGTCTTCCAGCACCCACCCCCCGGGGTCCCGGGCCCCTCACCTCCCGCCGCGTGGCTCCTCTCTAAGTCATTCAGCTGAATTTTCTGCTGGGCTTCTTCCAACTGCTTCTCTACTTCTCCCAACTTCTTCTGGACTTGCTCGTACTTGCTCTGGAAGAAAGAGACCAAGGCGAGCCATGATTGGGAGATGGCTAGAGTTTGTCCACCTGAGTTCATGTGTAGGGGGACGGGTCCTCCTGGTGGCATGTGACGAGGTAGGGCCTGGTGGGGGTCCTCAGTTCATGGAGAACATGTCCCCTTGGAACGGATTAGTTTTGGTGGGACCGCAAGTTTGTTCTTGCGAGAGGGTTGTTGTAAGGAGCAAGCCTGGACCCCCACCCCTGGCTCAGGCTTTCTGTTTAGCACTGGGCCCTCGCTGCCTTCCGCATGTGCTCTGGCCACGATGCCATCTGCCGGTAGACCCTCACCAGAGGCCAAACCAATAGTGATGCCCAAACTTGGACTTTCAGCCTCTAAATCTGTTCAATAAAACTATTTTCTCTATAAAGATTCCTGCCTCAGGTATTTGGTTATAGTAACAGAAAAGGACTGATACACGGTCCAAACTAAAGGTGGACAGAAGCCAAAGTCAGTCACCTCATCCATGGCACCTCTGAGACCAGGAATGCCCACCTGCTGCACCATCCTCACCCTTGTGCCTCCACAGCCAAGGACTTTCCAAGGCTGTGCCTTAGGAAGACCCATGTCCCCAAGGTCCTTGAGCCTGGAGTCAGTCCACCTGTGCACGCTGCTTAGGCTTATGATCCAGGGCTGAGCACCAGGAGGCAGGCAGCCATGCCCTGTCACCCTGCTCAGCACCCTAACACTTACCTTGAGCTCCTGGGCCTCCCGGAAGGCCTGCAGCCGCTCTGCCCGCTCGCTCTCCAGCGCCTGGCAGGCCACGTCCCCTTTGAAGCGCTCGTCTGCCAGCTCTGTGGTCAAGTCAGCAATCTGGGGACAGGTGGGGAGGCAGGGCAGGGTCACTCACTGGAACCACTGATCTGTCTCACCCCAGACACCCTCCTCGGCACCCCCTTTTGGCCCAATCACAGGCTGTCAGGGAGAAGCCATGTAGTGCAGTTGTTGAGAGGACAGACGTCAGGACACCACTGGCCTTGATGTGGCAGGATTCTTGGTCCAATACTCACTACCTGTGCGTGACTTTAAGGTAAGCAGAATGCTTAAATGATTCTCAGCCTTCTCGGTTTTAAAAAGGAGGACAGTAACATACAAGATGGCTTTGGGATTCAGTGAAATGATCCATGGGAAACTTATCCCGGTGCCTGGCACATAATAAATGCTCAATCAAAACAGCATTTTAATGGAAGCTCTTCTTATCCAGGCTCCTTTCAGGACTGATCATCATGCTCCCCAGGGATGATGGGGAAAACCTGTTAGTTAAATGAACCTATTTTCTTTGTAAAGAATCCTGCCTCTGTTATTTCATTCTAGTAACAGAAAAGGACTAATCCATGATCCAGACCAAAGGTGGATAGAAGCTAAAGTTGGCCACCTCATCTATGGCACCTCCAAGACATGTTTCAGAAGCTGAAAGTCCACACACAGATGGACAGATACCCCCGGCCTGTGGATGCTCTCAGCCTGGAGGCCTCTGTGGGTCTGCCAGGTGATACCCATGCATACTTAGTACCAACTGGGTGCATTTCCAACCTGCTTTTTTAAGTTGCAGATTTATTGTAACACCTATCAACTAGCACAGGATCCTGGAGAATATGGCTAGGCAAGACTCTCCGTGACAGCTAGCTGAATGTTTTGGAAGGAATTAATAAAAAGCTATCAAATCCGTGTAGTTGCAAAAACTAGAAGTATAAAATAAATTTTTCTATTCACATGACTTGGAAGAAGTCTGCCTTCTGAGCTGGTCCCTATCGGTACTGTCATCTGCCAGGCAGGCTCAAAATCAGTCATCTGCCCCACAAAGAAAGAAGATGTAAACCAGGAGCGATGGCCCACACCTGTCATCCCAGTGGCTAGAGAGGCTGAGGCAGGAGGATCACGAGTTATAACCAGCCTCAGCCAAAGGGAGGCCCTAAGCAGCTCAGTGAGACCCTGTCTCTAAATAAAACACAGAATAGGGCTGGGGTGGGGCTCAGTGGCTGAGTGCTCCTGAGTTCAATCCTCAGTACCAAAAAAGAAAGAAAGAAAGAAAGAAAGGTGCACATCTGAATATTCTACCTGGAAAAAAACCCCAAGATCAAGATCAAGGACCCAAGGCTGCCAAATAGGCTGTTTGAAGTGATCCGGCGCTTGCTTGTTTTTGAACAGAACAAAGCGCTCCCAGACTGTCCATGGAATGGTTTTGTCCTACAGGGATGGGCTCACAGGGGACTCCAACTTATTTTTGATGTTTTTGGATTGTCAATTTTTTTAGTCATTTTCGTAATCAGCAAACAAAACACACTATTTTTCAAAAAGAGGAAAAAATAGTTGTGCAACAAAATCGGGGGCTGCTCTATTCACCCCGTGACCTCCATCCCCCCTCATCCCCTCACCCCCACCTGTTTCAGCACCTCATTAACTGCTCACACCAAAATACAGATTTCAATAGAAAAAGAGAAAAGGGGAGGCTCGGGGGAAGAATTGCAAACTCATATAACATGTGGGTGAGACCTGAACCCAGGCCTCTCAGATCCAAGTAAGGACCACCAGGCAGCTCAGGAAGGAGGGCTTCTCCAGGGTGTGCCCATTGCCTGGGAGATAGAGCCCTTTGACCTTTCTTACACTGTCTTTTAAATGCACTAGTGTGAGCTGACGCACACCTGTCATCCCAGTGACTCGGGAGACTGAGGCAGGAGGATTGAAAGTTCAAAGCCAGCCTCAGCATCTTTCAAAACTGAGGTCCTGAGCAACTCAGGGAGACCCTGTCTCAAAAAAAAAAAAAAATCCAGGCTGGGTGTGTGGCTCTGTGGTAAAGCACCCCTGGGTTCAATGCCTGGGAGCCAGAAATTAAATAAATAAAATGCACTGGGGAAGTACTTGGGTTGCAATTACATAAGGTATCTGTGAAATGCAAATTCCAGGACCCTCAGATTCCCCCCAGTCGGCCAATGGGGCAGAGTCCGGGACCTGCATTTCACCCTGCTCCAGGGCTATCTTGTGCACAATTAGTTTAGGAATCACTGCCACCCAACCTGGGGAGGCTCCTCCTAATTTGGGCTCACACTGGGCTCTGAGTGTTGGATCTGCTGATGGCCTGGGGAAAGCCCTGGTCTGGGGGGGGAAGCCTGCCTAGCTGTGGCCGCCCCATCAGGCCAGTGCAACCCAGGAAGGCCCCGGATCACACACACCCGTGACCTCCACCACCTCGTCCCTGAATCAGCCTCGTCTCCAACACGGGGATCGTCCTCTTCCCACCTAAGCCAATTAGTGTGAAATTTGATTTGTGCTAATTGGCCTGAGCAAGGGAAATACATGATTCGTTTAATGCATTAATTTTGAGTTTCACAGAACCCAAAGTCTGGAGCCCCGAGGACAATTAGTCCCTTTGAATAGAGGAAATGACAGAACAGCTCTCAGAGAGAAAGGTGGCCCCTGAGGTGCCCAGGTCCCCACTGATCCCTCCTCCTCCACACACTGTGGGGCCAGGGGCTTTGTCCATGGAGGTGAGGGTGGGCACCGTGCTCAGGATTGTTAGGTGAATGCAGAATGAGAACAAATGAACGAGGGGCGAGGCTGGTTTGCAAATCCAGAGGTGTCCTTGCTCATTCCTCAAAGACCGATTCACTGGATGTCATTGTGCAAACATCCCTTGATGCAGAGCTTGGCCAAAGCAGTACAATGTTCTTCCTGCTTAGGGACCATGAATTCTAAGGGCCTGTGAGCAAGAGAGGGACAGGAAGGAATAAATTTGCTGTCCATTTCGTAGAGAATCGAAGGCATCCTGCACGTGGGTCTCTTTTGCAACCTGGAATGGCTGCAGTGAGTGGGATTTGTTGGAGGTTAAATGCTGTCACAAATGTCGTCCTGAAGCTATCACCGCTGCTGGTCACTCATGGACCTGGCAGATATCCTGTGGCCATCTACTGTGTGCCAGGGATCTCGTGGTTGAGCTGGGGAGACAGGTGAGTCAGCCACAGGGGTACCACATCTTGACTTGACTCTGTCCTCAAGTCTTAATATTCAAGAATTCCTGAACCCACACTGCAGCCTGGGAGGGGGGTGGGGACACAGGGACAGAGAGAGGGCTCACATGTACCGGGGTGTAGATGGATAGGAGGAGTAGCTCCTAATGTTCCGTAGGGCAATTAGGTAACTATGATTGACAGCCATTAACTCTATACTTCAAAATAGTTCATGGAGAGGAGTGTGGACATGCCTCACACAGAGAAATGACAGACGTTGGAGGTGATGGCCGTGCTGACGGCTTGGATCTGATCATCACACACTGCATACATGTACTGACAGGTCACACCGTCCCCATCCACATGCACAATTATTAGGACTCAAATACAGTTTTTGAAAATTTAAAAGAGAATTCTCAGACCTACACACCACTTCAGCTGCAGACAGCGGTAAACAGTGGCCTTTCATTGTTGCCTTGTACTTCTCTGCAGGCACAGAGAGCTGCTCTTGATGACCCCGCATATGACAAAGCGCTTATGTTCGGCACTTTGCAAAGGCTACTTCCTTTTCAGACCACCCCGTACCTTCCAAGGAGGGGCTGCCTGACTTCCAGCCCTGCCTCATGACCACCCTCTGCCCTCAGAGCCTCATCCACCGTCTGACTCTGTCTCCCTCCCCTGGGATCTGGGCACTGCAGGCCAGGAACTGTGACCCTCCCGGAACAGACCAGGAAACAGTGGCCCCAAAAGGTCTAGGTAAAAAGACAGAGGGCACCCACCGAGGGCCTCGTAAGCGGACTCAATCCACTCTTGCTGGGCTGCGCGGCCCTGGGGGCAGGGACGCCCCCACCTCCACCCCCATCACCCTGATAAGCCAGAAGAGGGGGGGATGCACAGCCAAGGGGCCGCTGCAGCCCCGGCAGGCAGGCTCCCGTGCTGTCTACCAAGGGCAGGGAGCCGGGCTCTGTCCCCATGGTGCCATGCCCACCAGAGGACATTTGGAACAAACCCCCAGCTTAGTGGTGGACCTCAGGGTTCCCCCAAGATGCACAGGGCACCAGGAAAGGCTGCCACTCTCTGTGCAGCTGGCCTCCAGGGAGGGATCCCAGAGGGACCCACCGCCCATCACCAAGTAGCCCTGAGGGATGGTCACTGCTGTGTGACATCAGATCAATCACTTTCCCTCTCTGGGCTCTACGTCCCTCATCTATGACAAGAGGACATACACAAGTTCCTCACAGTCTGATTTAAAGGGAAAACTAGATAATGCAGATAAGGAGCTCATGGAAACAGCTAGAAGATGAATCCCTCTTTCAATGTTGCTTTTGTAATTAAATTCGGCCCGACTCCATGGGTTCATTGAATTTGCCGTGAATGCTTCTGTGCCAGACATGGAAGGGAGTATGAGGGTCTGAGGTGTGTTGTTCTGAGGGCCGCAGCCTGCCTGGGAAGGGCAGCCCTCGAAAACATGCCTATGTCGATAACGGCAGAGATGCGGCCTGCCACACCAAGGTGGAACAATGACTTCTTTAAGTGCACGTCCTCACCGTGGCCTTCTGACGAGGGAATGACTACTACCATTTCCATTTTACTGACAATGAGACTAAGTCCCAGAGATCTGAAGGATTTGTCCTCAACGCCACAGGAATGGGGCACTAAACCAGACATCGGAGCCCCAAGCCCGCTCCTCCACGCCAGGTGTCAGAATCAGATTTCTTGTTCTCCTTCCTTCCCTTGGGCAGGCCACGGCACCTTCATCTGGGCTGGGTGGTGACCAGGGAAGACTGTGGCCCCAGGGTCTGCCTGGGGACGAGGCGCACAGGCCAACAGCAAGAGCGGCGTCCTCCTAGCTAACCCACTGTGGTCATC